TAATGAGAGGAGGGATGGCAGGAAAGTGCATTCTGTGGTGTCATGGATGGTATATAAATGGTGCTGATCGTCGGGGAAACCGGGGAAGAAAGAGGCACATATTAACTTGGGTCGATGGAAGCGAAGACGTTGATGGAGTGGTATGTATATATCCATTGATATTACATGTAGATGAGATGCCGCCGGCGGAATATGTGGGAATTGGAGCATCGTGCACTCCCGGAACCTAGTATGGTGGTGGTGCAACTTGTGCCAATCTCTTATGAGTAGCGTTTGCGAATAGAAAATGGTATCGATATAGGCGTGGGTGAGATCATGGCATGAACTGATGTGGGTTATATGCAGTCGAGCTGGAAGGCTTCATTAGGGGATGTCAGGATTCTACCAGCAGGTGGAGCAAGGAACCGAGTGAGATATGTACGTACATATATGATAGCTGGGTTGATATTTAAAAGGTTAATGTAATCGATCGCCAAGTATATATTATGATCTCTCGACCGTACCTATCTATAATGTATCATAACGGCCACAAGCTTGGCACGGACCAGTAGCTAGCTATAGGGGTGAAACATGAAAGTGCAGATCTCCAGTATATATCAACTGTGATACGACAGTGAAAGTATTAGTTTGCCCCAGATCTCTACGTATACAGTCCCATTCAAGTCATTCATATCTTGGTCAATTGCAAGCTGATCGACACACGTACCCGCGTGAGTTCCAGAGTACGTGACCGGGAAGACGTTTCCTGTCATATGCATGCACGGCGGGATCCGGGATAATCTACCGGCCTCCCGCAGTCCTGTTCCACATCCCGGTGCTCACTACACCCAAGCTTAAGAACCTTCCTTCAATGAGGTCTGTATTTCGCACTCCGATAGGTGCAACATGCAACGACGGCCACAACTACATAGTGCAGGTACGCGCCACCGAGTCGAAAGGCTTGGCTTGGCATGGTATGCGTATATATATATATATCCCCGCACAGCCGCCCATACCATATATGCACCTGCCCTATTTACTCAGCGCGTGGGAAGGTTCTCTAGCTATCTCTCTCAACTCTAGCTCCTATTTGTCGATGCTGTGGGAGAAGGGTTATCATTTTTACACCCCAAGCTCGCCCGTATATTTATGCGGGGGCGGTGGGCGCTTCTCCGTCTCTACTGTCCCTACCAATGTAGGTATATGCTGGAGCACTCTGCCTCTCCCCTAACTTTGCCCTCACTTCAGCTCACAACATTGGGAGGAATCTCTCATGGAGTACTATGTATAGTAGAAGACATAAATATTCCAATCATTAAAAATCTTCCTTAGAACTTTCCTAACCACATCCATAGTAAGATCATTTTGATACGAAAGGTCTTTGTAGGGACGTTACAGACCAGTACTTGGGACATAATCGGAAAATTGCCAGTTTATTCACGTCGTGGTACGTTGAAATGGATCATGATCACGTGCGCACTCAAGAGGAGGTTCGATCGGCATCAAAGTAGTGATGGCCACGAGACAAGACGAGACCAGATTGAGAGTTGTTTAGTCTCGTATCCTGTTGGTGAGGGATAGGTGGCGGGAGTCTCGGGAATATCGTAATCTAGCACCAAACTGCTCCAATTCTTTTTCTTTTTGTTTAATTCATTAATTGTATGCAGACTATAGTCTATGACAATATCGCACTACCCCAGAACTTCCCAATCACTTCCTCCACCTCTCACAGAATAAGGAAAACGGATCCAATTGAGAGAATATTTGAGTTTGGACATATATATAATCACGTGACCCATCAAGTGCAAGTTTTTGGACCATGGATCAACTAATATTGGATCTGTAGGGTCTGAACAAGTAGCGGCCAAGTCTTGCATTATATCTCGGGACCAACCTCGGTCTCGTCTCGTGGCCAATACTACATGAAAGACGTTATTTTAGCACAGGTTTATCGACGATCTTGTTCACAGGAACTGTTGAACCCTCTTTAGACATCTTTTTATTCGATTTGAAAGCCTGTGTATAAAGGGAGATAGCAATTGATATATTGACAGAGTAAGAGGTGTATGCGAGTGATAATCCATGATTCACAGCCAGCGACTACCAGGCCAAAATCGAGAGCAAGGGAAAGGCCGAGGGGCGATAGAGAAGCAAGACCAGAGTTAGATATTCAAGTGGGAGAATTATTTACAGATGGTTTCGCTCATGTATAATGATCTTTGGGCACATATCCACAGGGGTTTTAATTGCGAGTAGTATACAAGTATGTAATCTTTGCACATAAAAACCCACTAGGCTCTATACGTACTAGCGGATGTGACAGAGAATTGACAGTACCATCTATATACATACAAGTATCTACAACCCACAACCGCGACTGCAGGCATGGCGTTTTAACTGAATACAGCGAGAGGTAGAATTATTGTAGAAACAGGGGTCTAAAAACAGCTGGGCAAGCCAATAGGACTCCTCCCATACGTCTACAATAATCTTACCGCAAGCTGTACTTGACGTATTTGACGTATCCATATAGTTGATTCATAGGTTTATATTTAGTTTTGCTTGTAGCTATACAATATACGTGTACAATTTTACTACAAGGACTCGTAGAGTAGGTAACTAAGTACCTATATAGAAGGCATGCTGCGAAGTACATGTATATAATTAATTAATTACGGTGGTGCCTAAGTTTTGCGTGTTATGCGCATATGGGCTGGAGACTGTGACCCTGACCTGTTACGACCAGGTGGGTGGGTGGTGGTAGGTGGTGGGTGCTGGGCCGGGGGCCGGGATGTCGCCGAGGTTTAAGACAACAACCTGCAGCTGTACGGGAGAGGCTGGCAATGTCTCACCTGCACGACGAACCGAGTACCTCCTCTATGGGAATTCATGCATAAAAGAAGCCAGCTCAAGATGCAGAGCCCTCCTCCGTTCCTCGTGTAGCCAACAAAAAAGTATTTACTACACTTTAAGCTTTGTGCACGCCAGTGCCAGTGTGCAGGTACAGACATTTATGTACTCGCTCTCTAGTCTAGTGGAGTGTGTGCATGTGTCGAGTATACTCTATACAGCTAGTGGCACATACACGAGATATATTGGAGAATACCAGCAAGCAGAAATCGAGTAATCCCTGATATTGGAAGTCGTTCAGCAAACATACTCTACATACCTGCTGATACTCTCATTGGGTCTGAAACAACCTCCTTTTACCACATCACCCCTGTTTGGCTCGATCGTAGGGACAGTTCTCGTTGTATTGCGATCGGGCGTCTGCTGAATGCTAATAGTTTCGTGACAACGCTGCGCGTTGAATGCTGCGCATCGATACTGGCTGCTCATCGTAGAGGCACATGTAGCCTTAAGCTTGATAAGACTGATATTTACCAATGACAACCCCGCCGCCGGGGTCAGGTGCGGGGTTGGTCAACACGCCTGACACAAGTGACCTGTAGTATTCACATTGATAAAGGGTCCGTACGAATTGACACCGCCTACATACCGCCATAACTCGATAAATTGGCTAGCTTCCAGCGATCAAAATTAGTTGTATGGGAAACCTCTGATGCAGATCGATGCCATTCAACCAATCACTCGAACAATAATTCCTGGCCAGAGATAGCCAATTTTTCGAGTTTTGGCGGTACATACAGCGAGAGATAGAATTATTGTAGAAACTGGGGTCCAAAAACAGGGTTTAAGTGGCTGACTCGGCCAATAGGTCTCTTCCCATACTTCTACAATAATTTTACCTCACGCTGTACACAATCTCTTGATCTGCAATTAATTGACACATACATACACATACACAGAGGAAAAAAAAGCAAAAGACAAGAGGACCGGGTAAGAACAGATTGACGCCTTCTATGTAGGTAGAGTATGTATGTATCATGTAGCTAGTATTAAGTTGGCCAATTGGGTTGTTGTGCGCGTCCGATATACTCTACTCTAGAGTACGTATCTACAGCAAATATTACAATACCTACTAGTTTATGCAGGGTAAGAAAGCTCTCCGTGTGCCGGGACCGTAGCCGAAGCCAAATCGTGAAGCACATAAATTGGCCACTATTAGATAGCTCCAGTTACTTTGGCACCTTTTTCTTGTGTGTGATATGACAAGGCGGTCGAGAGGCTTATGAGAGCTACCGGGGAACCCCCGGCACCATGGATTGCATTAATCCTTTGGCTGATAATCCACAGTGATAAAAAATATCGCCTAATAAATGATATTATTGTTGGAGGCTCGCATTAGTGGACATCAGAGGGTTTAGCTACATGATTTGGATAGAAACTCTAGTATGTAGACAGAAGCTCCTGTAAATTCTATTGGTTGCAGGAGTTTCTGTTAATCCAAACTACTCGGTTTCTATCCTAACCGTGGGCTAAAAGCCTCTATCGATTAGAAACCGGAGAAATAAACACGCATTATCTCCATAGGAACGAGTGTGCGGGAAACATTAAAAAGAACACGTGATCAACCATGTTGGTACTGTATCAGAGGTTCAGAGGTTCAAAGATCCCGGTGCTGCTCAGGTCTCCTATTGTCACACACCAGTGGGTACGTTGAGACGGATTTATTTTGAGAGGTAAGTAATCGATACAGGGATTGAATGACAAGGGAAAGGTATTGTTCACAACTGCGGCAAAGTAAAATACGTTTATCATGAGATTCACCAAAAGAGATGAGTCAAAGGTATTGTTGATAAGTGCGGCAAAGCAAAAGATATCTATCTTGTAATTCAACAAAATCAACTACGCGTCACATAATCCGTTCCTTTTTATTTTAGTAGTGATAATTTTGCACATATTCGACAAGCAATCTAGGATAATCCCATATAGGACACAGGAAACATGCGAAGCAAGAGAATTAACGACAAGTAGTGGCAGGAGCCGGAGAGAAAGGAATACCACGATACCCCAAGAAATTGTTGAACAAGTAAAAGAGGAAACAAAAAATCAAAGAAATAAAATCAGGAAATTAGAGACATCCGTAAAATCGTTACTAAAAAAGAAAAACGTTTCGATCAGAGGTGAGGAACGAAATTACTCCACTGTGGCGACATGAAATCTTTATCGCTAAGCCACCGCAGGGAGATGAAGGACTCCACCGTGATGAACAAAGAAGCAATGACATAGATAATTGCTGAAATAACGCAGCTATAGAGCATGATATAATGCTGTACCATCTTTACTTTACGTGGGTTCAATCCGGAAAGAACATCTTTTTTGCTGGCAGGATCTGTATTATCATACTTGATTCTGTCTTTTTTATCGAAACTGTGTATTCTAATGGCGTCGTGGATCTCTCTGAGAGCGAACGACAAAACGTTTTTGGAGCTGGTTGGTGCGGCAGCTGTTTCGGCTGGATCGCGGAGATGAGTGCGCCATAGAATATCGAACATGTCCTTGTCGTAGTCGCTGAAACAGATAACCGCAACGATCCATGTTGGGAATCCAATCATACCGAAACACGAGGCCCGCCAGAACCACATCTCAAGAGTGGTCGGAAATTGAGTGAACCAGGCACCTAGATGAAGTGAAGAAACGAGGACAACGAGGAACCCCTGTATGATGACCATCCTTGCGGTGAATGCGACCTCGGAGGACAGGTTTAACTTTTTCCAATTGCAAGAGGGGGTAGGTTCTTCTGGATTATGATTTTTATCTTGACCCTGATGTTGATGTTGAACATGTTCAGTTTGAGCTTTATTATCAGGTTTCTTCTCATCATTGTAAATGGGCCGAACGTGGGCGACAACATCAAGAAAAGCTTTTGCTGTGACTGGAGCCCATGTTGTTTGAACTTGTTCCGCAGTCTTGAGCGGTAGCAGGATCGCTTCTTTGTACAAACTATTCCTATCGGCAAGGTGCTCACGTTTGATAACAGTGTCTCCCTTGGGGTTGCCAGAGTCTGCCACGGATCCGCCAGCGCCCTCCGCGTTAGGATCGATAGCGCTTATGACATCGGTATCTCGATTATAATTATTGAGGGTGGTTCCATGACTGGTCACAGTATTACTCCTCGCGGGTAGATTATTACTCATCCCGGGCACAGGGGAACCGCCACGGCTGGCGCCGCCGTATACCGTTGAGCCCGCATAGGAAGGGGAAGCGGCACGACTGGTGGTACTCTCAGGCCTAGAGCTGTGTGCGTATGGACTGAGTGTTTCGAATCCATGGCCGGGGCTGTACGGTTCGGGGGTTTCGAATCCGCGAGAATATCTTTGAGAAGATGTTTGGGCTCCAGTTTGAGCTTGCGTCTGAGCATGAGCCTGAGGTTGAGCCTGAGCTTGCGCTAGTTCGGCTTCAGCGTTGTCTTTTGGAACTTTGGCTTTGGATTTGGCTTTGGATTTGGCTTTGGCGGCTTTGGCGGCGGCGTCAGCTTCGGCTTTGGCGGCTTTGGCGGCGGCGTCAGCTTCGGCTTCGGCGGCTTTGGCGGCTTTGGCGGCGTCAGCTTCGACTTTGGCTTTGACGGTGTCCTCTTTGGCTTTCTTTTGAGCTGCATTCAAGGGTCGACGTTCAGGATTTGACAGATGGATCGTAGTGGGCACACCAACGTCCAAAGGCTTCCTGAACCAGTAAAAGTAGATCACTGATGTACAGACGATTTGTATGAGAACGTGTATCTCAAGAAGTGTCAAGGGTAAATTGTCCGCCCACCGCGCCAACGACTGCAAAATAAGCCAAAGTGCCTGTAGACCTGCAAATATCTTTGCAATGTTACTCCCCTTCCCCTTGTCTAGCACATCTGCCTGGTTGAAGGTTTTCGGGGTGATATAGTTGGCCTTGATATATTCCACGAAACCGTGTGCGGTGAGTATCGGGCGATCATAGACATCTTGTCCGCCCATGGCCAACTTCTTTGGTGACCTTATCTTCGTCTTCTCCTTGTAGTCTTCCGGGCGGTTGTTCTCTACCCTAAATCCTCCCATCAGGACGAAAAAGGCAGCGCCGATGTCTAGCGGAACGAAGTCGCCCTTCTTCTCGATCTCTTGCTCTTGCGAGCTCGTGTCGCGCTTCTTGCGCCATAGCGAGTCGGGGTTCTTTGCCCATGAAACTACGCGCGCTCCCATGGCCAGGAAACCATTCTTGAGGTGCTCTACCCATGCAGCTATCTTGGCCAGGACACCGCCCTGGGCAGGCTCCTCTTTCGGCGGGTCGGGCCCGAGGTACTTTGCCCATGCAGCTACCAGATCGCTGGCCTGGCGATGTTCGTCCAACGCGTATATCATGACACCTGCTGGGACTATGATGGCTATAGAAGTCAAGACTAGCTTGTACCATATGCGGAGCCTTTTCTTCCCTGTTTCATTGACAGCCGGAGCCACAGTGGTCCAGACGCAGAAGATATAAGTGGCCGAACAACTGACAAGGATTCCAATAGTTCCGCGACCAGAAGGTTCGGTCCGAAACCTAAGCTTTACTCCAAGGGCCGTCGTCTCCCTGCCTTTGATTCCAACGCACGTCGTGACATCGGCAGCGGGGGTAGAGGTTGGCGCCAGCGCTCCGACAGTGCTTGTTAACGTTTCCGTTACCCAAACTGTTCCTTGAGGTACTGGGCCGCAGAGAGCGAGCGCAATGAATAAAAATATCGCGATGAGAAGTAATGGGCGTGGGTGTAGGAGAAACCCCATGTTGCTTGGTGGCCCGCGACCGAGTTGTCAGTGATGTACTCGGTACAGGTAGGACCGTAGTTGGGTCCTGCTAGTGCCAAGCTGGCTACTGAAAGACGTAGGTTAGCCATAGGCACCAACTCATAGAGTCCTCCTAGCGGAGTACGAGCGACTTGCATATGGTGGCAATGGGATCTCTGGGCTAGAAGACACCCTGAACTGTACCTTTCCGAGATGTGTCAAGCGCTTGACCAGGAATTTCTCAGCAGCTATGAATACAGGGCCGGGGGTATATATAGCTAAGCACACTAAACGATTAGATGGATGAACACAGTGTTGGTAGACTAGGGATAATTGGAATTGGGTACCTTCCAGGAGTTCTGTTGGTAGTTTAAGTTCAGATAGATCAAGAAAAAGCCACGGATTTTGTGCTAGGTAGGTACTTGTACTTGGTGTGTAATAGGAATGTGAAAGTTCAAGGACGAGGAGCGAAGAGGACTCGTACGTAGAGTCGGGATGGCACGTTGGTCCCCAAGTTTCCTGTGACTGATAATCCCTTGATTAGAGCGCTATCCTGGCCTTGAACGCTGGGGGATGGCATCGAGGAAACTTACTGATATATAAGTATTGCCTTCCGGCTTAAGGCTCTTCCTCGATCCAGTGTATACATAATGCTTGATGAGATTTTATTGGCCTTCTTTTAGAATCCGATATCACAAATCGATCCCCGCATCACACACCAAAGAAAATGCGAGATCTCACTTATAAAAGCTTGTATCATTTAATTTAGTTAACAAGAGTAGTTGACGGAGGCGAATAGCCTTTTTGGCATTGAGATGCTAAACCACCCAATTGGCCAGGCCGTAAGACCGGCCAGTACGGAAACAGGAATCATAGAAGCTCATTCGTGCCAACCCTTGTGGACTACCTACATGTAGATAGCTGCTGGTGGACGTACGGATTGGTCTGGACAGGCCTCCACCCCCGGTCCTACCCCAGAAAAGGCCATTTTGCATATGCGCCTGAGCTCCTGTACATACCTCTTAACATTTGCATACTGGACAGTTATTTTTACAGAATAGAGTACTGAAATGATGAAAGGCAAAAGCACTTGTGTCCATAAACACTAATGGGGTCCAACCAACATCGCCAAAATCTTGTATGTATCACGGATTCTAGTACTCGGCTGATCACCTTTTCTCCCAGAACCTTTCGTTGGACATGCAAGGGCGTGTCTTCCTAATGAGATTCAAGCTCAGCTTGATTCACCATTAACTCCGGGTTTTAATATTTAGGTATGGGCAGCAGTTCTGTAGGCCTATACGCCAACACCTGCTTTGTTGTGGATTGAGGGGATTGAGGGGCAAATTCTAGGATCGGTTTTGACGCCGTATTGAGCTGGTCCCGCTAGCTTGAGAACAAGCAAGAAATGCACTTTTTAATATCGAGTTGAATAATGCGCACTCATACCGCACATCATGGACTTGTTCTTAATGACACCCACTACTCGTAGTTTTTTGACGTTTCCGGACGCGACCACTATTGCATGCCATATAAAAGATAGCCTTGGCGGGTTCTTTCTGTGTATGCAATAGCAGTTGCGTCCGGAAACGCTGTGAAATTGCGAGTACTGCGATATTCTGCGCATGCAGGGCGTGAGTTGTTGTAGTCTACTCTACGAGAAGTGGCGATGCTGTATGATTGGTTTTGAGTGATATTTCACATGATTTCACTTTTACTCTATGGCAAATTAAAGGTAATTAAGTTACCGATCAAAATAACTATTCTAATCCAATCTGATTCTCGAATCGAATGATCCTACTTGTATGGGGACATGTATGTACACGTATGCTGCAAATTTGGGAGGTTCACGCGTCAGCCCACAGGATGCGCCACTATAGAGTACCCCGTCCACCGAGTTTGTAGAACCCCCGGTACTTGATCATCCAACACTGATAAACGTGGGGTTTGTGGTTATAGAATGCGATTCGATAGGGATTGTGATGCAAAATGCAGTTCTGAGGATACAGATTTATAGAGCGAATTAAGTCATTACTCTACTCGTAATTCAATCAAAAACCCTAGCTGGAATTACGCTCTGCGGTTAAAGTTCCGGTTCTAGTAGATTGCATGATGTCCAAGGCGGACAACATCCCAAACCTCGTGGGCAAGGCATCAAAATAAACTTAAGCATCCAATACGACGGCAGTAATTGGCTCGGGAACCCATGGCCCTCAGCTGAACCGTGCCCGGAATGGTCCCAGGATGTGTGAATGGTTTCTCAGCATTTATTAACCATCTGTATATCATATTTGCAATCTCAAGGACCAAACAAAAGGCGGCTGTGGAACTCTACCAGGATATTATATGCGAAATAAAGCATTGAAGTAGAGAATACTCTGTCTGCAGGATCGAAGCTAGGACTTAGACTCATGCTCAACAATGCTGGTACTACGTGCCTTGCGACTTCGCACGATTATTAGTGGGCATGGTGAGACGGCTTATTTGAAAGTACTTTCTACTCTTTTTTTTTTTTTTTTTTTTTTTTTATATCAAGCTCTATTGTTTCTAGGTACAAAGAATCGCATAAAGTATAAACTATGGCGTAAAGACCTATCCCCGACCGGCTGTTTTTTTTCCACCTATATATAAAACTTACGAAGACAAAAGGAAAATATGAGAGGGGGGAAAATCCTTAATGGGGCCTCCGAGAACCTAGTCTCCTGGAGGTAGTGGTGGGGTGGCGCGGCGTTTTTATGAGATTTCCATCGCGGTCTGGGGGTTGGGGGGGGTCGGGGGAGTGGTGGGTTTCCTGCTGGGGCAGGCTGGGGCGAAGGAGCGGTGGGTCCCGTTGCAGTTGACGCACTTGGAGGGAGAGATTTCGCAGCAGTTTTCAAGAGGCGCCGATGCTCCTTTGCACGTGGCAACTGGGCAGCGGTGGTCTTGGAGCTTGTGGGGGAGGGTGCACAGGGGGCAGGCGACGGGGGACCTGCATCCCTGGGTGGCGTGGCCAAGTTTGCAGCAGTTCCTGCATTGTGTGGTGGGGGATGCTCGCCACATGACGTTGCAGCGTCTGGGGCGGGAGAAGAGGCGGATAGTGGTTCCAATGGTTGCTGCCTCTTCCGCCATCATGGAGACGATGACAGAGGTGGTGGCCTTGGAGGAGCGGGAGGTTTCGTCCGTGTTTAGGAAACGGACGGCAGCGGGGGTGATGCCAACGGCTAGTTTAAGCGCGGAGGGCAAGATCTCCTCTAGGCATTCCTGGTTGGGGAGCTCGTAGAGGGGGACGCCATGGATGGCGAGATCGACGTTGGTGGGAGCGGTGCGGAAGGTGGTGAAGGGGTTTTATGGGGAGGCTACCTCCATGTTCAGAATCGTGGTGAGGGCCTCGAAGAAGGGTACGTAGACCGTTGATGGGACGGTGGGAGGAGCGGTAACAGAGACTGTGCCTCTGTTGTTGATGGTGACGGTGAGGGAGGTGACAGGGGCGACTTGGTGGCTTCGGGCCAGAGCTTGACCGAAGAGGCGGGGGAGGGTTGCCGACAGCCTTTCGGCATTGGCGATGGGGCAGGGGGTAGTCCTGGTGGCGAAGAAGCGGCGGTGGGCAGACGGTAGGGGCTTCGCCTTCGGGGTGGATCCTGTATAACGGGGACTATGGACGTAGGGACTATGAAGCCAAGGAATACAACCGAGGCGAAGACGTAGACGTAGGAGATTCGTGGACTATGGACTATGGGGCCGAAGGATACACCTAAGGCAAGAACGGGGACTGTGGACTGTGGACTATGGATGGTTATACCTGGTCTAGTATACCGGGTAAACCCTATGACGTAGCGCGAACCAAATAGTATTCGTAACTGTACAGAGGTTGCGTAAAGAGAAAAGGAAAAGAAAGAGAAACAAGAAATCACAAAACAACGCCCCCCTTATATATCCATACCCAATCCCAATACTGACTCATACCCTCCATAACAGAAACAGAAAGAACATAATAGAAACCCACTATACAAATCCCAATCACACTATATAACCCTTCCTCTTCGTACCCTAACACCTCACATAACCAAACCACATGGCTGCCGTTACAGACCACTCCCCCCTCTACGGCCTACCTCCTGGTAGGCTTAGGCTTCCATGGATATCGTTTGTGAAATCGTTTGACAATATCGGGTGAATGTTCAACATCCGATATTGGCTGCCACGAAGCTTCGTCATAACTGGCATACTTAACCAAATATTCAAATCTTCCCCGACGATCCCTGGAATCCAAAATATCTTCAACTTCCCACTCCTCCTGTCCTTCAACTTCGACCGGCGGTGGTGGTAACTGTTGTTGTCCTGGTAAAGGATCGTTTGCTGCAGACGACAATAAAGAAACATGGAATACAGAATGAACTTTCATAGAACGAGGGAGTTCCAACTCATAGGCGTAAGGACTAACGATCCGTTTCACGACGTACGGTCCAATACGTTTCCAATCAAGTTTTTTCGATGGTCGTTTAGTAAGGACATGGCTGGTCGATAAGAAAACTTTATCCCCTACACGGTAGTGAGGTGCTGGAGTCCGACGTATATTGGCGGACTCTTCTTGAATCTTTTGCGCTCGAAATAGTTCATCTTTTAGAAAATCCAATATATCTTTCATCTCCCTTGCAATACTATTGGCCTGATCCTCCGCTGTCGTCCTACCATGTTCCAAAGGACCAAAAGTCATTCTTGGATTCCTCCCTGAGTTGGCGTAAAATGGAGAGATTCTCGTCGTTTCAGAAGCATGGTTATTTGTTGCAAACTCGGCCATTGGCAACCATCGAACCCAGTCGTCCTGTTGATAAGAAACATAACTTCGAAGGTATTGTTCCATCACAGCATTGATTCTTTCCGTTTGTCCATCCGTCTGGGGGTGAAACGCTGTAGAGAATTTTGGCAATATTTCCAAACGATCGCAAAGGGACCTCCAGAATTCCGCAACAAATTGTGTTCCTCGATCCGATACCATAGTTTCAGGAAGTCCATGTAATTTCCAAACATTATCGATGTACATCCTCGCTACTTCTTTTGAATCCGCCTCTTTAGTTGTAGGAATCAGATGTCGCATCTTGGTCAGTCGATCTACTACCACCAATATCGCATTATATCCATCGCTTTCCGGAAGGTCAGTAACGAAATCCATTGATACATCCCTCCATGGTCCATCGGGTATTGGCATAGGTCGAAGTACCCCATAAGGTGCATTGCGTGGTGCCTTGCTACGGGCACACACATTGCAATTCCTAACGTACTGGTCGACATATTTTCGCATCTGTGGCCAGTAGTACTCTCGATTCAGGAGCCCCAGAGTCTTCGCTCTACCGGGATGTCCTGCTGATGGTTTATCGTGATATTCCTTCAAAAGTCTTAACCGAAGGTCGTTGACGTCCGGTACATAGAGTGCACCACGGTAAAGTAGCCGACCGTTGTTATCTTCCATACATTCGGCAAGCGAGATCTTATTCGAATGACGGATACCGTTCCGAAGCATCGCGAGTACTTTGTTCGGGAAACTGTCAACTTGGTAAGCATTTAAAAATAACTCTTCTACAGTGGACATTCCTTCAGCGGATTCATTTGAAAAAGAACCCGCGAACAAACTTAGCTTTGAATCCAAATTTTTTCGCTTCAAAACCACCTGGCTTTGATGCATCAACCGTTCATCCCCCTCCTTAGGTAGGTCACCCGACCTCCTAGTTAATGCATCCGGCTTTACCCCTTGTTTCCCTGGTCTAAATTGAATGACGAAATCGAAGCGTGAAAGAAATTCCGACCAACGGGCTTGTCGACGGTTTAATAGCTTTGTTGACATAAAATATTCGAGGTTCCTATGATCGCTGAGGACTTCGATTGGAAATTGTGCTCCTTCCAAATGATGTCGCCATTCCTCAAAACATCGTACAATTGCCAGGAGTTCTTTATCATAGATTTCATAGTTGCATTCCGCAGGGGAATGCTTCTTTGAGAAGAAAGCAACTGGATGCAAAATTCCCTCGTCGTCGCGTTGGGACAAGATTCCGGCAGAAACATAGTCGGATACATCGGTTTCCACCACAATCCTCCGATCCGGATCAAAATGCGCAAGTATCGGTGCTGTGGTAAACATCCTTTTCAATGTCTGAAATGCTTCCTCCCTTTCATCCGTCCATTCGAATTTAACATTCTTTTTCGTCAAAGCTGTAAGCGGAGCAACAATTTTCGAATATCCCAAAATAAACCGTCTATAGAAATTGGCAAATCCCAAAAATACTTGAACATCATGAAGGTTCCTTGGTATAGACCACTCCAAAACATCGACAACTTTCTTCGGATCCATTCGATTCCCATCCGGGGTGAGAATCAAACCAAGATACTTCGTTTCTTGAACCATAAACTCACACTTCTCGGGTTTAAGATGGACATGATTCTCATCAAGTACCTTCAAAACTTTTTGAATATGTTCCTTGTGTTCCGATAGAGTTTCGGAATAAATCAGGATATCGTCCAAATACGCTGTTACAAATTGGTCGAGGTAGGGGCGTAGAATATCATTAATCCAATGTTGAAATGTGGCAGGGGCATTCGCTAATCCAAATGGCATTACGGTATACTCGAAATGTCCATAACGAGTTCTAAATGCTGTTTTCCATTCATCCCCCTCTGCTACCCTGATTTGATTGTATCCCCATCGCAAATCCAACTTGGTATAATACTGTGCCTTTGACAGTTTAGCCAGAGTTTCCTTCAAAAGTGGTAACGGATACCGATTTTTAACCGTGATTGCATTGAGACCTCGATAATCCACGCAGAGCCGGAGAGTCCCATCACTTTTCTTTACAAATAGTATGGGTGCTCCCACTGGTGATTCACTAGCTCGAATAAATCCCTTGGGTAGATTTTCATCGAGGTATTCCCGTAGTGCTTTTAGTTCCACCTGGGAAAGGCCATATATTGGTCCATACGGTGGTCGTTTTCCTTCTTCTAAAACAATTTCAATATCGTGGGACGGCCGATGTGGTGGAAGGACTGAAGCATCATATTCTTGAAACATATGGAGACGATGGTAGAACTCCTTTGGTACTAGTTGCTTGATGTCGACGGTGGATTTTTCAACTGCTGAAACAACAACAGTATGATGTTCCGGTAGAGGGATCGATATCCCATGGGCAGTGACTGTCGTTCCACTGAGTGAACAGTGTTGACAACAGCTTCGAGAGTCAAAAACAAGTAAATTTTCCTTCGGCCGAATCGTAACATCGTGACGTCGCATCCAAGGTATTCCCATCACCATTGGATAGTGTCCCAGCTTCGTTACAAAACATAATGCAGTCTCTCGATGACCATGGATATCCAGCGACACGTTGACAATATGGGTGATCTTTCCTGATTCAATAGGCCTCCCATCCATAACATCTACCTGACGAGGTACCTTAAGGCGGGTCATTGTGAGATTATTATGGCGTGCAAAAGATTCATCAATAAAAGCATATCCAGAGGCTCCGGTATCAATAAGGGCATAAGTGGGTATAAAAGAGTCAGAATTCTGAGAAACCGAACAGGTAACGACAAGAGGGTCTTCGGACATCTTGTCCTCTGACACGGTAGCAGCAGAAATAACAGAGACTGATGGCGGGGCTAGCCCCTTTGGTTTGCCATTTTTTACCAAAGGGGCTGACCTTTTAACGCCGACTTTTGAGACACTTGTTCAATTGGCTTTTCTCGCCAATTGTTAATGGTACGGGGGTCTTGGGAGCGAGGGGCGAGGTAGCGAGACTTGGAAACATGGCGAGATTGGGTTTTAACTCTAGCGGCAGAAACGGAGACACGGGAGCGAAGATCGGCAATAGTGGCATTGGCTTGAACTTCCCAGGCTTTTGCAACAGAAGTGATGTGAAGAATTTCATCTTCAGCATCAGCGAGGTTCTCATCGGCAATGGCGAGATTTTCCTGGTGTAGTGCGAGACGGAACCGAAGCTCTTCTTCTTCAACCTTCGATTCCTCCAGCTCAATCTTCAAAGCAACGATAACCTCGTCGCGACCTCGGATGATTTCGGTAGAATCTTCCTGGTTATCGCACAAGGTTTGCCAAAAATCGGCAGCCTTTTCATTGGCTGCTTCTAGTTCTGTAGTGAGGCCGACAATGACCTCTTCCTGGGCCGTATCGATAACGGGTTCTAATGGCGCAGGGGTGTCAAGAGGCTTGATGAGAGCCTCCAAACACTCAGCAATAAGACTATGAGCCTCCGTAAGTTCTTCGCCGAAGTCTATATCGGCTGGGAGGGGACCATAGGTGGTCAGAAATTCTGAAAGACGCTGCAACAGCGTATCCTGAGTGGTGTCGGACATAGTCGCGACCAGAGCTAAGCAAGGTGGTGTTGTATCGGTTGGCTGTAGAGGACGCAACCTAAGTATAACGGGGACTATGGACGTAGGGACTATGAAGCCAAGGAATACAACCGAGGCGAAGACGTAGACGTAGGAGATTCGTGGACTATGGACTATGGGGCCGAAGGATACACCTAAGGCAAGAACGGGGACTGTGGACTGTGGACTATGGATGGTTATACCTGGTCTAGTATACCGGGTAAACCCTATGACGTAGCGCGAACCAAATAGTATTCGTAACTGTACAGAGGTTGCGTAAAGAGAAAAGGAAAAGAAAGAGAAACAAGAAATCACAAAACAACGCCCCCCTTATATATCCATACCCAATCCCAATACTGACTCATACCCTCCATAACAGAAACAGAAAGAACATAATAGAAACCCACTATACAAATCCCAATCACACTATATAACCCTTCCTCTTCGTACCCTAACACCTCACATAACCAAACCACATGGCTGCCGTTACATCCTGGGGCCGGGGCTGCGGCTGCCTTGGCTGCCTTCTTGCTGGGGGGGTTGGGTGGGTTGGGGGTGGATCGAACCACTTGTGCATACATGGGGGTTGCCCTCGGTTGGGCAGGCTTGGCGGGCGGGGTAGGCCTGTGGGGGGCCTGGGGTGCGGGAGGGGGGAGGCTGGTTCTCCCGATGAGGGTGTCCAGTTTTTGGACGATGAGAGGGTCTGAGGGGGTGGGAGCAGCTTTGGGGGCTGCGATTGACTCCCTCAGGGAGGCGATGTCGTCTCCTAGCTTGGAGACTGCTTCGGCGAGCTGTTTGTTTTGATGAATAGTTCCTAATAAGAGGAGGGTCATCAAATGACTGGAGTCGCGGTGGTCTCTGCCGCCGATTGATCTCTCAACCTCAGCAGCGAGGGTGGTATTGAGCTCTGGGAGGCCAAGGACCTCGTCGAGCGAACTAAGGTTGACTACCTCGAAGAGGGCCTTCCTTTGTGCGATTTGGGCGACCGACATGAAGCCGGAACGGTGGGGGTTTTTGGTGTGTGAGAACGGTTGTCACGTAAAAAAGAGGAGGTTGGTTTCAAAAACCAAGGAAGAAGCGGGGAAGAAGGATGAAGTACTTTCTACTCTACTCTACTCTACAGTATGAGATGTAGTTAGGGGCCTATTCATTGGCTTGACCTGCATGCAGCCAATTCATAACCCAACCACCCCTGTCATATACAGTTTCCGGTAGAATTATTGCGAAAGTCAGAGCTAAAAGAGTGGATTTTGTTGGTCTGTGCTCGTAGCAAAAATCTTTTAAGGGCCAATAGGACTATCGGGTCACGGAGAACCCACTTTCGCAATAATTCTACCGGAAAGTGTATACTTGGCGCGGACCAACCCAAACTCGCAGTCCATGGATAAGGCAATTCATTGAGAGAATATCGCCTAACTGCATGCTCTGGTTCATTTTTTGATTAATATGAGATGAGAAACAAAACAAAAGTGATAATGACAGGTTCCTCCAGTAGAGATGTTTCGCTGGGAGCTCTTTCAAACTTGGGTAGGGTTGCATGCCAGATACGGGAATGCCTTGGTGTGATAGGTGTATTGGCGATCGGTGGAGACTTTGGGAAATACATATTGGAATTCGCACCTACAGAGGCCTGGATAGAACTCCTTACGCTTGGTTAAGGATAGGTCTTAGCTTGCATGGTATTTACTGAGTCAGGAAGATCTCTGGTTAGTGCTCTTCTCCACTACGGTATACTCCTTCCTCCAGCCACAACGGGCACTTACAGTGCGGTATCCGAGCTTAAAAGATCTGGTGCGAAATCTCTCTAATTAAAGCTTATGATGAAGTTTGTCCTCTACCACGTCAGATCGCCGCGCCCCATTTTTAGCTCTTTTTGTTCACTCTGTTCTCCGTTTTCTTTTCATTTCCCTCGGCGTGTCGCCGTTTGAGAAATTCACTCTAGCACCAGCCGTAGGAGTCCCTTCAGCGGGTTCAAACCGGCCATGGGAGACTTAATCAATGTAGGATATCAGATCTAGTCCTCTGGGAACATAAAAGACTATCGAGCCTGACTCTACTAGCAATTTAAATGAATCAATTAATGTATTATTCGCCAAGGCGAGCTGAATAGAATTCATTTACAGGGGACGTCGTCTGTAAATGAGACAAGTGATTCATTTACAATGGATTTACCGGGTGTCATTTCGTGACACATTAAAGTAGACTTTTCTGTACCCACGTTACATTAATATTGCATATTACGACCATCTTCCCGTATAGGTTAACAACAATTCTGTCTTATTTGGCGTATGTAATATTATAGTCTATCAAGTGTTTCTGGAGCTTATGGGTTCAACTATCGCTGCCAGTAATAGTTTTGCTTTTCTTGGGCAAAAAAGTAATTGATCGCCTATAAAATCCTTTTCAAGACTAGCTCAGTTGTTAATGTGTAAAAAACGGAACATATTTGAACTAAGAGATTTATACTGATTCGTTTACGCATAGTAAATCCGTATCCCTTACTAGCGATATCATGATGATCCCTTTCCTGATTCATTTGCTTGCGCCAGAGAGTGAGATATTACGTTTCTTTTACATAATCTCTCTCACTATCCCCTGGATGTTGGAGACATTTTGCGAAATCTCTCTCATGCATAAATATCATGTGATCTCGAGTTTAGGTGGGAAAACGTCAGGGTAAGCAGTGTGCCGCATTTACAGGTCTTTGGAGTACGCTGATGTACCATAAACTTCTCACGATGCTGCTCTATATAGTGTCAATCACTTCCTGGATAGACCACGCTAATGCATGAGAGAGATTTCGCGAACATCCAGGGGATAATGAGAATCACGAGATCTCACCGTTCGTCCCACATCCGGTGGATCGGCGACCGCACAAACGAAGCGCATTTCCTTAGGTTCGGTATCCGTTCAGCTGTCAACGCTAACCATTGTGGGCCTGGCGGCTAATAAGCCACAGTAAACTGAAGCTTGCGATTGGCGGGAGATTGTCTCAAGTCGAATAGACGACCTCCCCGGCCATTCGGACAACCCCTCACTCGGACAGTTAACGTAGAAAAGAAACGATCAACGTTTTAAGTGGCTTCAGTACCTCTTTTCAACCAATCATGATTGACTGTCCGAGTGAGGGGGGTGTCCGAATGGCCCGGGAGGTCGTCTAATTAGTAAAGCCATAATATAATCCCGCACCCCACGGAAAAGGTAAGCATATTTCGACATCTTGATTGGTAACTCCAAGAGAAGATCCCCATTTATCATTCATTCCAAGGGGTTTAACTTTGTTTCCGAGTCTTGCTAGAGCTCTTCCTGACGGCCACCACTCGCTCCTCCGGAACCGTGGATTAGCTTAGGACTACCCAGCCCAAAAGAGTTCTTGCGGTCACTTCTACCAATAACTGCTGAGGTTCTACGCTTAGGCATGCGACGAAAACCGGAATATTGGAGGTTGTGGACGTACCCTAGTCGAATCTTCGACTATCTCGCATGTAAAGAGAGATGAGGATAGATGGATTCTTGTTATCGCTTGTTCAATTCAGGGATACACTAGACTACACTTCTTTCTCATACATTAACACTCCCGGTGCATAAAAACACTGTCATAGTCTTCATACCACATAGAATAACTGAGCTAACAACAATATCGAGATGGAGAGTGAACGAGTGATATTCCGTGACCGGAAATCAAAAGTCGAAAACATGCAGTGATGGGGTGTTTGCCGAGAACATCGGCGATAGACCTCCGGCTCATGTCTGTACGAGTACTCCTACATGGTAGTACATAAATGAAATGACGTCAAAGATGCAGGGCCTGGCCGCGCGACAACGTGCATCTCCGCACGTATTTTCCACTCCGCGTATACCTTCCTCATCTGCCTACTCAACATTACAGTCAAATACAAACAATTTACACTTATGAATCCTCACTACATGGCTCTCCCTCCGCGCAGTCCTCGATCCATACTCTATAAGGTTCCACGAACATACATGTCAGCACCACCGCGAGTAGCAGCACCGCAACAGCGCCAGCGACGCCAGGTAGGAGTATGGGTAAGAAGGGTGGTAAAGGCCCGGAGTCTTTTATCTAGGCCCCTGGTATGGGGGGTATAAGCACATGTAAGTCGATAGGATGGGGGACGTCGGGGGTTCTGGGCAGTGGGAGGGGGTCGGGCATTAGTGTGTACTGTTGGAGATGTGGGAGTCAGTCAACTTGGGTCGGGCATGCACAGTTGGGGTGCGGAGACAGGGCTTGTGGTTGCAATTGAGTTAGGGTGGTGGTTGGGTTAGGGGTGTGGGTGGACCCTGGGCGGTACTACTAGATGACCACTGAACGAATAAAAAGATAAGCCTTACCTCTAGATATTCTTCAACCCTTAAATGAACCATTGCTTTATAGAATAAAGATAGTTCCGTGGCGATTTTAGGGTGGCTTTGGGTGTTAGTCATGCTTAAATCACGCCTATCGGGTTCTTTTGATAGTGATTAATTAATCTCCTTATAATCACATGATTGTTGACAATTTGTTAGGTTTTATTTTAGGTTTATAAGAAATCTCCCTGGCAGTTTTACAGTATCGAGCTATACGCTAGAGCTCTCACTATACGCAAACTTCATACATATAGCTAATAAATGGAAATTCGATGGCTAGCTACAGAGATAAATCTACCTTGAAAAACAAATTCATTAGGATATAATAGCTTTGGAGGCATATCACCGCTTGATAAATATTTGGCTTTGTTAATAGTTCCTATCTTATCCTGCGTCTTCTCTACAACGGGAGTAAATGCATCAGGAAATGCATCCTACGATAGTAATGTTTTAGGAAAGGCATCAAGGTGATGCCTTTCCAGCAAGCGTCTCTTGGAAAGGCATCGTTTCGATGCTTTTCCCCTTGATACATTTCCACTGGAAAAGCATCAAGAGATATCTTTTTTGATGACTTTTTTGATGCCTTTCGGGGATACCTTTTTTGATACCTTTCTGACGACTTTGTGATGACTTTCCGATATCAAAATAACTAAAATTATAGATTTTGAAAACTTAATAATATGTTATCTATAACAAAACCAAAGCTTAGTGGTTACTAGGTGGTTAAAACCCTTCATGACCTGAGTTCAATTCCAACTCAACTCATTTCTTTCGAAAAATAATCCTTTAGCCTAGGTTGGGCCTAGGATCTATTTCCTGATTCATTTCCTGATTCATTTCCTGATTCATTACCCGACGAGTTAATTTACTGCATTTCCCAACGACTTTCACGATGCTTTTCAAACGACTTTCTCCATAGAAAATCTCGACGAGTTACCACATACTGTCGACTTGATTCATTTCATTGATTTATTTCCTTGATGAATTTCCTTGATGCATTAACTTCGGTGGTAGAGCTTGATGTGGGGGTTCAGGGTTAGGGTTAGACAAGTTATTCGGTACGTTCAGAACTGTCACCCTACGCACCCACAAGTCCTACCTACTCCTACCTCTAGTCCTCACTCAATCCTATTTAAGGTTTGTTACTTTGTATTTATGGATTAAAGCAAGGTTATACGCGAAATCTACAGTTTCCTGTTCAACCTTCAGATCGGCGAGATCGAGTATTTCAAATATACATCTATAATCCTTCAATATTGGGCCGGGAATCATTACCGGAGGGTCGGGTCAGGATACTGGAGGTCTTATCTGCTACCCCTGCATCGCGAGGGATTACACATAAACTAAACATGGTCAGCGTACAGTATTCATACGGGAGGGCATGCCGGATCAGCTCGGGTTCTCTGCATCTAGCTCACTAAGGATGGATATATATAGGTCATTGATGATTAATACATATATCTATTGGATTGCCAAAAAGACTCATAAAAATATCAGTCTTCATGTATACCAACGTACCTACTGTCATTTATGGGGCGGTAAATATGTCAAAAGTAATTCTACCAACGGTAGTAAATTATTTTACCACTGGCGGTGAAAGTAATACCAGTATTTGTGCCTATAAACC